TGGCATTGAGTGTGTGAGTGGAACTGAAGGGCTGGTAGCTTATGCGGAAAGCCGAATACATTTAATGAGAATTTCCAGTGTTATGGGGTGTCCGGAGTCGGGGGCGGGTGGGCTGGGATCTTTGGATCCCTTTAATCAGGGTTTGTGAATTGTTTAACTCCACAGAAGTAGTGCCGTACGACAGTTTATGGGAAAAACTGGATTGCCGCTCAAATAACCTTTAATAGGAGATAAAAGATTTGATTGGAAAGAGAAAAATCGGGGGAAGGCAAGTTATAAGAGACGTTATATTTATCGTTTCCTTTCTTTATGTTACCTCCAAGCGGTAATATAGGATTGAAGGGTCCTGGGAGATACCGCTTGGAGGATAAATTTTGATGCGTGCGACGTTAGCTTGGAGACCAAGCTTGCTGGACAGAGGAAATAATCAATTAAGGGTTTTAGCAGGAATAATAATTCTAAATGGTGATGTACTGGAGAGAAAACATCATTGTTATAGCAGTGTAGAAAATAAGCCAGAGGAACAGAGCTCCTGCGGGAGCAGAGAAGAGGTCACTGCTTGAGCAGTGTAGAAAATTATCCAGAGAAACAGAGCATCTGTGGGAGCAGAGGAGACGTCACTGCTGTGGCGGTGTAGTAAATTAGCCAGAGAAACGGAGCTCCTGTGGGAGCAGAGTAGACATCATTGCTGTGACGGTGAAGAAAATTAGCCAGAGAAAAGAGTTTCAGATGGAGCAGAGGAGACGACACTGCTGTGGCAGTGTAGAAAGTTAGCCAGAGAAACAGGGCTCCAGTGGGAGCAGAGGGGACGTCACTGTTATAGCAGTGTAGAAAATAAGCCAGAGTAAGAGAGCTCCAGTGGGAGCAGAGTAGACATCACTGCTGGGGCCGAGTGAAAATTAGTCAGAGAAAGAGAGCTCCAGTGGGAGCAGAGTAGACATCACTGCTGTGTCAGTGTAGAAAAAATAGCCAGAGAAACAGAGCTCATATGAGAATTATTCAGAGAAACAGAGCTCCTGTAGGAGCAGATGAGACATCACTGCTGGGCCGAGTAGAAAAATTAGCCAGAGAAACAGAGCTCCTGTGGGAGCAGATGAGACATCACTGCTGGGGCAGAGTAGAAAAATTAGCCAGAGAAACAGAGCTTCAGTGGGAGCAGATGAGACGTCACTGCTGGGGTAGAGTAGAAAAATTAGCCGAAAGAAACACGGCTCCTGTGGGAGCAGAGTAGACATCACTGCTGGGGCAGAGTAGAAAAGATTAGCCAGAGAAACAGAGCTCCTGTGGGAGCAGATGAGACATCACTGCTGGGGCAGAGTAGAAAATTAGCCGGAAAAAAAAACGCGGCTCTTGTGGGAGCAGATGAGACATCACTGCTGGGGCAGAGTATAAAAGATTGCCCAGAGAAACGGTGCTCCTGTGGGAGCAGAGTAGACATCACTGCTGGGGCAGAGTAGAAAAGATTAGCCAGAGAAACAGAGCTCCTGTGGGAGCAGATGAGACATCACTGCTGGGGCAGAGTAGAAAATTAGCCGAAAGAAACACGGCTCTTGTGGGAGCAGATGAGACATCACTGCTGGGGCAGAGTAGAAAAGATTAGCCAGAGAAACAGAGCTCCTGTGGGAGCAGATGAGACATCACTGCTGGGGCAGAGTAGAAAATTAGCCGAAAGAAACACGGCTCCTGTGGGGGCAGAGGAGACATCACTGCTGGGGCGGTGGAGAAAATTAGCCAGAGAAACAGAGCTCCAGTGGGAGCAGAGGATACGTCACTGCTGGGGCAGTATAGAAAATTAGCCGGAGAAACAGAGCTTCAGTGGGAGCAGATGAGACATCACTGCTGGGGCAGAGTAGAAAAATTAGCCGAAAGAAACACGGCTCCTGTGGGAGCAGAGTAGACATCACTGCTGGGGCAGAGTAGAAAAGATTAGCCAGAGAAACGGAGCTCCTGTGGGAGCAGAGTAGACATCACTGCTGGGGCAGAGTAGAAAAATTAGTCAGAGAAACAGAGCTCCTGTGGGAGCAGAGTAGACATCACTGCTGGGGCAGAGTAGAAAAATTAGTCAGAGAAACAGAGCTCCTGTGGGAGCAGATGAGAAATCACTGTTGGGGCAAAGTAGAAAAATTAGTCAGAGAAACAGAGCTTCTGTGGGAGCAGATGAGACATCACTGTTGGGGCAAAGTAGAAAAATTAGTCAGAGAAACAGAGCTCCTGTGGGAGCAGATGAGACACCACTGCTGGGGCAGAGTAGAAAAATTAGTCAGAGAAACGGAGCTCCTTTGGGAGCAGAGGAGACGTCACTGCTGGGGCGGTGGAAAAATTAGCCAGAGAAACAGAGCTCCAGTGGGAGCAGAGGAGACGTCACTGCTGGGGCAGTATAGAAAATTAGCCGGAGAAACAGAGCTTCAGTGGGAGCAGAGTAGACGTCACTGCTGGGCAGTGGAGAAACGTACCTGTGCAAATGAGCTGTGGTGTGAAGCCGAGCAAGAGCGGGAAGTAGATTGGGGCCTGGCTGGCCGATTATCATCTTCTTGAGCGCAAACAAAGATGCGAAAAAGAGGGGCGATTTAATCTTTGCAGGATTATGCACATCTTTATTAACGTTTCAAAATGGCTTAGGGAACTTTCACCCTGGCAGTTAAGTCCGTAACGGGGAAAGGTTCGCATGAAAAATCGCTAATGTGAACGCCATTATGGGAACCGGGTGCGCACTGGGGTACCGGACCCGAGACTACCTGGAGGAGGTGGTGGTAGTACTGACTACCCAGCACGGACTCGGGTGCGCCCTTGTTCAGGAAATAAGGTATCCTGTGCATGCGTTTTAGCTTATTGTGATGTATTCAGTTAAATGAGTAAGGGATGATAGTGTTGAGGAATTACCCTGGATACGAGCGAGAGTGAGCCTGCAGTGTATTCGAGCATTGTACGTGGAATCAGAGCAACATATTTGTAAATCCACTGTATTCTTACGGGTCCGTTTGCAAGCAGCAGAAAACCACCTTATGCGACACACGTACAATAAACCTGTATTGTTCACTTAACTGCGCATAGTAGAAGCAATTTTACTAAAAATAAATAAGTAAATACACAATATTTACCCACGTTCTGCTTTCCATCGAGCGCCGTGCACGTTTGCAATGACATAAGATGCACGCGAACGCACCAAGGTTCGATAGAATTAAATTGGGTGTGGAACCGGACCCACTGCGGGGGGCGTCGGGGACAAATGCGCTCGGACCGCTGCAAACACAGGATACAAACCATATATGGCATTTCACCGTAACAAGCCTAGTGTAAAAGCTCCGTTGTTTCTCATTTATTTATTTGTCATTTCTAAGGGTGGTTCCCTGCCGATTTGTTCGTTCTGGATTAGTAAACCAAATGGTGAAGCTGCGGGTTAGAATTGGTCTGAACTTCTGAAATCTTAAAAGAGGAGTCGATTCCTGTTAATGGAATCGATTCCTAGCTTTGGAATCGACTCTATATTCCTAACGCCTCGGATCGAGGAATCGATTCTTTTTGGGATCGAGGAATCAATTCTTTAGAATCGATTCCCAGCCCTACTGTTTACGTGTGAGTTTTACGCCATAAAGAAGCATCGCGTTTAAGGAACGCAAATCATTGTACAGAAACTATTTATATCGATCACAATTAGTATCCGGATAGCGTAAATGCTCGACATTCAACGATTGAAGCGATGCGAAGTTCAATCAGGGACGCGAAAGTTTTCAGCTAAGCACTCACAGAGTTGACCCGGCAGATGTTTGAGAGTGTGGATCAGCCGGGACTGGATCTGCAGCGTGGCTTAACTTACTTACTGCCTGTTGCGACGGCCGACGCTGGAGGAATGTCCATTCCTTTGCGTTAAGATGGCAGCATTGCCTTGTCCATATCTCTATGGCAGGAATTATTGAATGGTCCGGTTTAAAGATACCGCGGAAGTAGATTGCGGATGTTTCGCCCGGGGTGGCGATGACCCGTTTGTTTGGCCTGACGCCCATGGGATGATACCGGGTTGCGGAAAAGATTCCTAATTCTGGACGAAAGATTCTCTATCGAAAACAGGAAGAGCTAGATTCGGACATGGCCAAATGCTGCAAACTGCCAATGGATCGAGGTAAGACTGCTGAGTCTATATATACCCTCTTATCATTGGTTGCTGATTGCCGTCCACTCGTGTTAATTATCTGAACGTGCTCCTCCCGAACTTAGTTATTAACAAAACTTCATTTAATTTTATTTGAATCCCTAAACAGATTGCACTGCATTTTATGTTTTATGATTTGTATCGATATACAAAATGTTGCTAAATAATATAGTTATATAATATAATATACTGTAGCTTATATTTAATTTGATTCTTTTAATTAGCAAGCAAGCACTGTTACATGACTCAAAATCCAACACAAGACATATCATGTCAAATCTGAACGAGCATTGGGAAATTCTAGTAAGTAAAACAGGAAAAAAATATGATTTTAATGTCTACCGGCATGTGTATTCAATTTAAGGGGTAAGGAAAATGCTCGCTTAAATCAAAACTTTTTTTTTGTTTGCATGTTTACATGTCTAGGATTTAGCTGTATGCTTTCTTTTCATCATCTTGGACATCTTTCTGTGTCATTGACCCATAATCGCTTTAGTACAGTGATATCATCTATGCTTCACTAATGATGAAGGTGATTCATGACCAATTCTTTGAATGGCAGAGTTGATGTGGCTGCAATAACCGGACACAAGGTTCGATGGGTGTAAACAAACAATTAAATTAGAAACTACAACCAAACCACATCAAAATACACTTGTATGATTATCAGTGGGCAGTTCGTTGATGTGTAAACTTGCTAACCTTAAGAATGTTCATTCTCAGACCATGTGTAACTGCAATGTGGAAGTAATGTGCTTTTTATGAACATGAGTTATGTATCTTCCTGGGTGTTCTTGTGGTATGCAGTTTTTATTTGTCATAATATAGTGACGTAAAATCAGCTAAAGCTTTTATTCTATTTTTCTGTCTGATTCAGGTTGCCAGTGCTCCATTGCACTGTACATTATATGTGGACTTCTGGCGCTTTTCTTAATTCTCATTACTGCAATCGATGTGCTCAAATACAAAAGGTGAGTTTTGAAAAAAGATTGCAAACAGCAAGAACTTTGACATCATAACATGATTTAGCCTGTTTTTAAATATGAGTAAGAGCTGTGCGTGTAAACCTCACTCCCCTGGCCTCAAGTGGCCCTCCCCCTTATGCCGGAGACTGGTCGAGTAGGTCTAGTTACATTTGGTGCCGTTTACCCAGATGGGAGTGAGTGTAACTGTGTGTTTCCTGTTAAAATAAGAGGTCACATTCTGCTCTTTCAGAAAAAAAGTACAAAAGCTGTCACTGGGACTGTACCTTTTCAAAAGGTAAACTTTTGTCCATTTTAGGGGCTAATATGTACAGTTTAGGTGCTAATATGTACATTTAGGTGCTAATATGTACACTTGGGTGCTAATATGTACACAGTGTTGGGGAGTAGTTAACTACAAGTAGCGAAGCTACTAACTTAACTACATTTTTGAGTAGCTTGGCTGTAGCTCAGTTGCTTTTTAAACAGTGTAGCTTTTCCAGTAGCTAACTACTTTTTGCAGCAAGTAGCGGTGTAGCTCGAGCAAAAGCTACATTGTGTTTGTCGAGCCTGCGCGAATCAGCGCGCTGCTAGGATATTCTTCTTCTTGTTAGATTACAAACTCATTTTTTTGCCATCACCGCTACCTGTTGTTTAATCACACATCTGCGGCTAACAGTTCACTGACGTACAGAAGTGTGTTGACACACACGACGATGGAGCAAGATGTGACAGCAGATTTGGAGGATGGAGAAACAACTAACGTTAATTACCCATGGCCTTATTTGTCCAAGTTCAATCGGTATTTTTGAGAAAATGTTCTACATGCAATTTAGGTTGGATGTATATGTTTTTCTTGCAATGTTGTAGCCTATTGGTTACAATTTTGCACTTTTGACAAACAATCTGAGATATTTGGGTGTTGTGTGTAATAAAACAATAGTTTTTGAAATCATAATTTTATTGCATTGTTTTAGTGTTTAAAGGGACTCTGTGTAGGAAATACCCCCATCTAGTGGTTAAATAGTATTTTGCATTCAAACGAATTTTGCTCTCCAGCGCCTCGCATTTTCAAGTGCGTATTGCATCTACGGTTGCCGTTATGTACCAAAAATGCTATGACAGGATGTCTTGTAGTATCACTTCATCAAGTTTTTCTCCGGGTGAACAGGTTTGTAACTTAAAAAAAAAAACAGCAACTTATGTGTTAACTTATGTGTATAATTTATGTGTCTAGCTGTATAAATTAATTTTAATTCTCTGTACAATCTTATCCACATAGCAAAATCACAATTTTAGCTAATTGATCATTTATGTATAAAAAGAAAGCTATAGAAAATCTTACAGAGAGCAATGTTTTCTTACAATCATTATCTCTATATTCTTACTGAATTTATAGGTTATAAAGAATTAACTTACAAACCTTGTTTTTAGCACCTTCCTTCACAATAGCTGCGAGTAAAGTAGTCAATAGCTGCTATTCATCAAAGACCTTGTTTAACTTTTTTACCTATAAATGTATACTGTCTATATAATAAAGTACACAACCAAGCAATGACAAAAAAATTAAGTCAGACTTTAACATTGACTAACCTGTCGAGGAGAAAGCAGGCAACTTCAGCGTCTCTTCTGAAATCTTTCTGCTGCATTAGCTATTTCCGCGGTTGAAAACGCTATCCCGATATTTAAGGCCATTGCACACTGAGTACGAAATTTTCGTATGCGTATTTTCCTGTACGTCAGCCTAAAAATTCGTCACGCATAGAAACCTTGCACACTGAGTCCGTTGCGTATTTATTAAACCTTTGCGGGAAAAAACGCAAAAATACCAAATGGATTCGTCAAGCAGTGAGGATGATTTTTGCCCTCTCTCATATTGAAAAGAGAAGAAATAGAAAATATCCATCCAATCCTGAAATTGCGCCGAGAGGAATTATCCTGAGCGATTCAAAATTTACCTCAGAATGTCAGCGGGACAGTTTGATGCTTTGCTAGCGATTCTGGAGCCACATATTAAAAACAAGACCACCAATTTCCGTGAACCAATCGATTCTGAACGGAGACTGGCAGTGTGTCTGGTATGGACCAGGTATGGACACACACACACCCGCGCGCGGCCCTGTGGAAGCGCTGGGCAGACAGAACAGCTAGGCTGTTATTGTGTATGTATTGTGTATATTGTGCCCAAATAATACATTAGTTATCGAATAGGCTGCTCAATCACACCTTATTCGATCCTAAATTTCAATCTGATTGAAAGGGGAGGTTTATTAATTTCATAATCCAATAGCTATAGAGAAGAGAACATAAACACTTGATCGAATTGAAAACCGAAACTGAAAGCACGGCGCATATTTGTTCAATGATTTGAGGACGAGCTCCCCCGGCCCTGAATTGTCAAAAGACCTCTCAAAATGCTGGCTCTGGATGCGAAAAACGCAGAAAATCGAACCATATCCGATTAATTTTATGACGGAAAAATGAATGGCCTTGTTTTTTGCAATCTCCGGTCACGTTTCCTTTTTCGTTCAAGTCTGGCCTTTTTTTGCGAGGAGGATGCATTCTCCTGTGACTCGGCATATGGTCCGCAACAAATAATAGAGCAAAAGAGCAATCAGCAATCATAGGAGTGCGATGCAGCCGTTTAAACTTGCAGGGAATGCGCCTCTCAATGTGACGTGACGATGGCTCTGAGTCTGAACGAAAACGCGTTGTGGAAACGCGTTTGGCTGGTGGTACTTTTTGACCCTCTCTGCTATTATAGTTTTCAAGATGGCGGAACGGACATGGAAGCCTCCGTGAACCTACCCGTCCCATGTACATAAAGATAATAAATTCTTCATTTACGAGGATAAGTCAGATAATTTGCAGAGGTATTTGTACACCATTGAGGACATATTTATGAATAAAAATATTGATTTCAGATAATAAAATACCTAAAAATCTACACAGAGTCCCTTTAAAACAATGCAATAAAATTATGATTTCAAAAAGTATTGTTGTCCCCTTCTGTCCTCAGACACTTATTCAGTTATTAATAATACGTTGTTCAAAAAAGCAAAAGTAGTTTCAATGTAGCTAGCTACTTTTTGATAGTAACTTGTAGTGTAGCTAACTACTTTTCCAAAAGAGTAGCTTGACTGTAGTTTAACTACTTTAACTTACGAGTAGCTTGTAGCTTGTCAAACTACAGTTTCAGAGTAGCTTCCCCAACACTGTATGTACATTTTAGGTGCTAATATGGACATTTATGTGCTAACATGGAAATTTATTTGGTAAAATACATTTTAGGTGCTAATATGTACATTTAGGTGCTAATATGTACATTTGGGTTCAAATATGTACATTTTAGGTGCTAATATGTACATTTAGGTGCTAATATGTACACTTGGGTGCTAATATGTACATTTTAGGTGCTAATATGGACATTTATGTGCTAACATGGAAATTTATTTGGTAAAAAACATTTTAGGTGCTAATATGTACATTTAGGTGCTAATATGTACTTTCTAATATGTACATTTTAGGTGCTAATATGTACATTTAGGTGCTAATATGTACATTTGGTTTCTAATATGTACATTTTAGGTGCTAATATGTACATTTGGGTTCTAATATTACATTTTAGGTGCTAATATGTACATTTTAGGTGCTAATATGGATATTTATTTGCTAATATGTACATTTTAGGTGCTAATATGTACATTTTAGGTTTTAATATGGACATTTAAGTGCTAATATGTACCATTAAGGTACTAATATGCAACCTTTAGGTACAAAAGCGTACCTTTTGAAAACGTACAGCCTGACAGCTTTTGGACCTTTTTTTTCTGAGAGTGTGACATGAATGGGAATATAATATGTCTTTAAGGGAAAGATATATCCAGCAGCATTGCAGTAGCTCTGCTAGCGCATTACCCCCCGCCAGAATTTATTGTGATTTATTTATTTAAATGTTCAATTATTTATTTAGAATACACAATTATGAATGGCCACCAATAGAGAAAGCTGTATTTTGTGTAATGTTGTAGTTACAGGATCCAACAGTAGGAGCTAATGAGGCTATGCTAACCACCAGTCACTTTGACCCATTTGGCATTTCTCCAGGTTTATTGACTCATTTGCAAACATTTTTTATTTAACTCTTATTACACATGTATTTTATGCCAAATTCATATTCTAAAACAAATGAAAGTCACACCTAAATGAATCCCCAAAACATTGCGAAAATATTGTTATAAGTAAAAATAAGTTAAAATATGATCATTCTAATCATTGGGATTTTAATTGTTAATTAAGTTCTATGCAAAATGTCGGTAACCCTTTTAAGGTCAACATTAGTAAATGCATTAGCTAACATGAACTAACAATGAGCAACTTTATCTTAGTATTTTTTTTTTGTAAAAATCCAATTGTAAACTAACAAATGTGAACTTTGGATTTTAAAAATGTATTAGTAAATGTTGAAATTACCATTGATTAAGAGGAATAAATGTTCGCTCTGCATTGTTCATTGTTAGTTCATGTTAACTAAAACTAAACAGAAACCTTTTTATAAAAAGTGTTACCAAATTATGTTATTTCTTCTCTTTTCAGCCTATTAAAAAGACTTCAAGTAAGTATAACACCGTCATAAATCATGCCAAGGTATAGAGCAGATAAACAGAAGTATCATATAACACAAACTTTGTTTTCGGGCACATTTTCTGGGTGTGGACGATTTATTATCAAAATTATGATATGGAAGAATTTCTCTGAGTTCAAGATATTTGTCATTTTCAAAGACTTTGCAATTGCATTTGTCTTTCGTGCAATTAGAAGTTTGAAGGCATGAGAGAATCCATGATGTATGCGACCCTCCACAGGACCAGTGACTCTGTATACAATGTAATACAGGTCAGTGTTTTGGTATTAAAGGTTATTTTGCTAAAACAACATCCTTCTATTTGAACGTGATTATGCTTGGCGTGCAACTTTGAAAGATGCATTGAAGACCTGCTACAACAGTTGCATTTCTTATTTCTCTGTAAGTTGTGTTTAGATACTATGGGGCTTTTTCTGACCTATTCAATCAACAGTTAAATCAAGAGACAGGAAATGGATATTTATATTTCTCAGAAAACAGGAGTTGTGCAAGCATAAACACTGATGGGCTGATCACTTGATGCTATGCATGTGACAAAAGCTTTGTGGTGTGAACAAGATAAACAGCCCATTCTCACTCCCAAGGCGTCACCAAACTAACGCCTTGGGAAGCATTTGACCATGCTTCAATATCTGACGCTTTAGGCGCCCTTTAGCGTCAGTTAGATGACGCCCTAGGATCGCGTGTACCCTACCCCCACCTCATACAACCGCGTCCTCTAACTGACGCTTTCCTTTAGCGTCAGTTAGATGACGACGTAGGATCGCGTCATGTAAGTGAAGGGCGCCTAAAACGTCAAATATTGAAGCATGGTCAAAGGTGACGCCTTGGGGTGAGAATGTGTTGAGATAGAGGGGAGAAATAAGTAAAATTGCTGTATCATCAGTTCTATTTCAAGCCATAATGAAGACGGCAAATTTTTTCCCCCCTCAAATTTCTATGAAAGACTAAAATTTTGTGCAACAATCATCAGTTTTCTCATCTGAAAAATAAGATATCTGCATTTTGTATACATTGCTAAAAAGTTAAAATGCAGTGTATAACTAAGCATAGTGTATCAGTAAGTGTGTATGTGATGCATTGTGGATCCCTGAATCTTTCTCTTTACTGCAGACGAGGGGTAGTGGAACTGAAGATGACTACGAAAACAGAAACTTGAGTAAACATCAGCCCAAATCGGAGCCATGGCTAGAAGTTAGCTAGACACAACATGCTGTGGTGCCCATGTTTGAGAACAGATTCTAATCTGGCATGAGTCTGTTTTGTGCGCTTCTCTGCACTGTGTGTGTTT